AAATGCTTTCAAGAAAATGGTTTTCTAACTTTTTCTTTAAAAAAAAAAGGAAAAAAAAGGATAAGTCAACCAAATTATCACCCTTTATAAGTTATAACCCTGGGATATCCCTGTCCAAGAGAATTTGGGCTCTTGATCTCTATACTAAGGGCCTTGCCATACCAAAGTCGAAACGAAAAAAGCACAAGTGCATCTTTCGGAGAAAGCGGCAAGATGCATCCATTATTACTATTTATAGCAAGGGATGCATCTTCCCGTTTTCTGGGGTAGATGCACTGGTACTTTTTGTTTCGGCAGTGGCGTGGCCAGGCCCTAATTTACTTGTGGCAATTCAGCCAAGAGGGGGGTGCAGGTTCTTTTGTTTTTGTTTTGGCCTGGTATTGGGAACAGAACAGCTACTTTTGGTTTCGGCAAGAGACAGCGTCACTTGAAATGTAGGGTATGGTGGATGAACTGTTAGGAGTGCTTCATGGATTTTCATAGCATTTTCTGAAACTTTTCTCAATTGAAGCTAGGTAATGGCTTCGATACCCAGTTTCCAAATCATCATCAAATGTTCATGACATCATCAAATGTTCATTATTGTAATCTACTAATAAATTAATAATCTCATTATAAGGGACTCTGCTGGGCCTGGTTCCCGGCATGTGCTCGTCCCCACGAATAGATCAAAGATCTGAAGGAAAAAAAAGGAAAAAAAAAAAAAGGTTCTTGCCTCCTCCTGTTTCACATTCTGTTGACGGGTACTTTGTCAAATTACCATGAATGAACCAAGTTCTCTTTTTTTTTGCATCCCAGCATTGGAGTGTTCAGAGTCTACAGCCCCTCTCTCCAAACAGACCTCCTGGTGATCATCCACTAGCCATGGTGCCCCATGGGAGGTGCATGCCTCACTCAGTGAGAGGCTCCATTCTATTCATGGGGAGCAGCATGTGCTGGGAACCGGGCCCAGCCTCGCAGTTGAAGGACTCACAACAAACTCCTTCGATGAGCGAGGTATGTGCCACATACCTACAGGAATAGGAATGTTGCAGGACCTAGAAATCACCAGTGTGAGGAGGGCAACAACAATGCAAAGCGGCAGAAGACTGAAAGATAGCAATCTGACTCATCCATCTCATGACTCAGCACCTGCAGACATCATCACACACAGGGAGAATACAAGGAGGGGACATGCACAGTCAAAACGTTGTCTCCTTGGTCCACACACACATTGGGACGAGAACTGTAATAGATGATGGAAGCGGTGGAAGGGGACGAAATGTGGGAGGAAGAGGAAGAAGAAGAAGAAGAAGAAGAAGAAGAAGAAGAAGAAGAAGAAGAAGAAGACGGCGGCGACGGCGACGACGACGACGACGACGACGAAGAAGAAGAAGAAGAAGAAGAAGAAGAAGAAGAAGCAACCAAATAATGATAGTCTCTCTCTGAGATCCCACAACTCGTCACCAGTACAATGCCAACAGCGTGATGAATGCCGGGGAGTGAAGACACTGAACCAGCACACGAAGTGATATACTAGCGGGACTGGCAGATCCAGGTTGCTATAGGCAATACCCACCTTGCCTCCATGCCTACAGGCCCTCTGTTAAGGCAAGAAAATCGTTGCAGACTGTATTCTCTCTTGAACTGGGTGTACCTACCCTCACTTCGGTCTACATTCTGTCAGGTATTAACCTTACTCCAACTGCTTACCCTGGCAGACACCAGACCTCAGTAAGTTGGCTGAAAATCTCTACTGGGCCGGTACAACTGTCCTTATATTCCCTTGTCCATTCTTCTTGTGCCCATCAGTCCCACTACTGCCAAATTTCAGTCTAACCCTGGGAAGATTGTCACGCCCGGTCGGCCCGGTCATCCGGGCATGGGTATAAATGAGGTCATTTTTTTTTTTTGGTGAGCACTGGGCAGTGGGATTCTCCGCACGTGCCCAGAGAGCCCAAATCCGGGCTCTTTTCATTTTTGTAGTGTTGGCTGTCAAGGGGAGGGAAGGGGTATAAATTGGTTTTAAAGGGGCCAAAGGGGTTTAAAAGAGGGGGGGCTTAGTGTGATTCTGTTATGTTCTTTTTTATCTTCAAACCAGGGAGGAATTCTGATGTGACCCTCAGCCAAAGTCGTTTGCATTGCAATTTTACACAACATATTTTTCTCCCGGATTTTGTTTTTGTGCTGGGGCTGCCCGGCACCCTGCCCGGGGATCATTCCCGGCCTGACATGTACCCGGGCACGAGTTGGCTGCCTGGGCACGTGGAAAAACAGCCTAGGCCCAATCCCTAAATCTGCACCTATCTACAGCTCTGCCCTTTTGGCGCACAGAACAATAATATGGGGACAAAGATAGAAGCTGGAACTCAGGCATAGGCAATCGACCTGGAAAGTCCTGCTGGCTAATTTCAATCTGACCCCTGTTTCTACACTTATTTACAGTTGCTACATGTCTTCCCCTAAATTGGCTGCACTTGGGGCAGCTTCCAGTCTAGATACGGCCATAATTACCCTACTTTCTATTCGGGGAAAGAAGGTAGTAGCCTACTAGCCTAGTACTCAAACATATGCATCCTACCTGGGACTTATCACAAAGAAACACATTCATTCATGGGCACACAAACACAGTTCGAACGAGGAAATCTCAACAGGAACAGTGGAACACACCATAAAGCCGCAAGTTATCAGGAAAAAAAAGCACAGAGTTTTCATCGGACTGTAATCTGTGCTGATCATTGCGCGCTGAATGCAAGACAAGATTACCTATTCTGATCCTATGTTTCTCCTGTGTACAAGCTCCCGTCGAAAGTTCATCGAAGCCTCAAATCCCCGATGCCAAACGCAATGTAATGAACCCAGTCTGAAAGATACTCGTCAGATGTCGAAGTACAAGAAATATCAACTCTGAATGAAGTCCCCAAATAATCGTGAACGTGATCTGTGATACAATGCCTTGTAACCAATGGACGAAAAAGAGGAGAGGGGGAATAGACAGATTACTGAGATTAGAGGGTGGAAGAGATATCCATCAATGACCACAGGGATAGCAGCCCAGCAATACCCTCTCCTTCTCCGGGCTTCCTTCTCTCCTCCTCGTCAGAACAGTGTTCAATAACGAGCCTGACAAGTCAGATCACATCAAAAGTGCCGCGTGGCACAGTTCTCCCGTGAAGACTTCAGCAGCGCACAGTATCGACATCAACAGCAGGTAAGTATCTCGTTCTCTCTCAACCATCCACAGATCCTGATCTCCCTCCTTGTCTCTTCCAAAACAGCAATGTAGACCGTGTGGCGAATGCCACGTCAGAAATGAAAACAGAGTGGCATGCGCCACAGCAGCAATGTCGAAGCCAGCATGGCCTTGCGCCACGTCAGCAGAGGCCGGGGCCGAAGCAGAAGGTGTCGGCGTATAAGCACCAGTCTCGCGTCGTCGTCCACAATGCCAGCGTCCAGCCAGCGTCAAGCCAACGTCCAGCCAGCGTCTAGCCAGCGTCAAGCCAGCGTCTAGCCAGCGTCTAGCCAGCGTCGAGCCAGCGTCAATTCAGCATAGCAAGACTGAATGTTGACTCCCTGGAGGCAGGGTCTTATGTAGCATTTGACCGGGTAGACCTGCCACAGGTCTCCCACCCACGGTGGCTCAGATTGACTCGCAGCCGACGGCCTGGATCCCATACAGTTGCAGACTTCCACTTGGCCTAAATGCTGTCTTGGTACCTGCATACAAACAAGTGTGTGTGTCTGACCGGCGGCCTGGTCTGGGTCCACGGTGACTTTGACTGAGGGCTGTGGACAGTTGACTTTCAGACCACTGTCTGGCGCTGGGCCCCTAATTCCAATTTTGGGGTCCTGCCTCTTTTGCAGCCTGAAGCCGACGTCGGGCCTGGGGCCCCCTAGACAGGTTACGAGGCATAACAAGCGGGTTACTGCAACCAGATGCATGGATTCCATTGTCGATTGTCCTCGCTGAACACCCTTGTTTCATACCATGGTAAGCGCGGACCCGGACACCGGACACTTCCGGACTGTCTTCCGGACCAGTGTCTGGACCGCTCCGGACTGTCCGGTGATCCGGACATAACCGGACACCGGACAGTCCGGACCGGTCCCCGGTG